AGAGTAGTCCAAGTCTACTGAGCAAACAGCAGGTACGCGATAATTACTGAATTAAATTCTCTGGCCCACATTAGTGAGATAATTCAGGGGAGCCTAGTGAAAGTTAGGCTATAGATCTAGTGAGATTTAATAGCAAGTCAAAAAGATTTTTAAAAGTCTATCTTCTGGGCTTCCCTGGTGGCTCAGTGGTTGAGAGTCCGCCTGCTGATGCAGGGGACACGGGTTCGTGCTCCGGTCCAGGAAGATCCCATATGCCGCGGAGCAGCTGGGCCCGTGAGCCATGGCTGCTGAGCCTGCGCGTCCGGAGCCTGTGCTCCGCAACGGGAGAGGCCACAACAGTGAGAGGCCCGCGTACCGCAAAAACAAAACAAACAAAACAAACAAAACAGTCAATCTTCTGTCAGTTTTCTAGGCAATGTAACTTCAGGAGAAAACCTTTTAAGGGTGTCTGGTATAGCTGCCAGTTCTCTCCTAACTTCATATTTAACACCATGTATTTTCATCTGAAAAACCTCAGACATTTTTTTCTGTACATGTAACTGAAATTATCAGTTTTTAGAAATTTAATTTTTAAAATATCTTTTTAAACTTTAATTTGATCAAAATATATTATTCTCTTTTAAACTTTAATATTTGTAATTACACTTACTTGTCCCCATTTCTAGACATATAATATTGTACCCGCCACAATCCCCTTTCCAATCATCCTTAATACTAGTTTCACATGAATGTCCTTCATTCTTTTATAAGGTTGACTGGTATCCCTAAATTTGGTTAACTGGTTTCTCCATGAGCGAGCCTGAGTGTACTCATCCCCAATGCACCTTCTCTAGTTTATATCTAAAAGAAACAAAGTTTCCTGATACCTACTTTAGGTAACAGAGAGCAGATCCTTGCTTCCTATCCTGGAACTAGCTCCACTTAGCTGGCTAGTTTCATGTGACCTGAAAATTCCTACTTAATCAATGTTTAGATCCCATCCATTTAACTAAAACATGGATGTATTTATTAAGTCTTCAAGTAAAAAATTCATGAAGAAAAAATTCAAATGCAACATGTAGACAAGGATAGATAAATTTGCTAGGAATGATTATTTTCCTTTTAGAACATAATGAATTGCTTCCCATGGTAATTATATATCCTAACTTAATCCTTACCTTCTTTCAGAGCCTTGTCCATGTTATGAGAAATGACTACCCTTCTAGACTGAACTGACTCGTGTGAGTTTCCACACACAGGGCTCTGAAATGGAAGAAGAAGAAGAAAAAATGCATATTACTGAATGAATAAATCATACATAAAAATAAAACCAAAGGTATGAAAAACCATTTAAACAGGCACTAAAATACTGCTTAACAGATTATAAAGTTCTTCTGGAAAAGTAAATAAATGCTTAAGGTTAAGAAATTTTTGAAAAAGAAGAATTAAGGAAGGGTTTTCCCTACCAGATATCAAAACAGTATGATATCAGTATAGGAATAAACAAATCAACAGAATGGTAGAAAGTACAAAAACACCTATATATAGATACATATCTATATATGAGAATTAAGAACATAATGAGAAAGAATTTGAAATCTGTGAGGAAAACAGACGACTCAGTAAGTGGTGTTGGGACAATTTGATATTCATGTGGCAAAAAAGATTAGAGTCTTATCTCACACTTCATATATAAATAACTCCAAAGTGATTAAAACGCTAAATATGTTTTTTAACTAAAAAAGCATTTAAAGGAAACAAGGGAGACGCTGTGTTGAATCCTGGGATGGAGAAGATTTCTCTAAAATAAGACACAAAATATAAGAGTTATTTTAAATGCACTACCTTCACTCAGCAATTCCACTCCTAGGGATCTAGCCAGCGTAAAATACCTCCACGTTGCAAAAAAGTATATATACCAAGAATTTCACTGCTATGTTGACTGTAAGGGCAAAAAACTGGAACTAGCCCAAGTGTATATCAATAGCCAAAGAGTTAAATTATGGTATGCTCATATTTTACAATATAATGCAACCCTTAAAAGGAATGAATTAGGGATACATATGCCTTCATGGAAAGTTTTCCATGATGGAAAATGCTTGGAAGCATATATGCTAAACTATTAAAAATGGTTTCCTTTAATAGGCAGAGGCATAGGATTTTAACTTCTTCCTCCACATATGTCTGTGTAACAGTAAACTTTAAGTTTTTAATTATAAAAAGATACTAGCTGGCAAAAAAAAAAAAACAAAAACAGAGAGAGGCAATGTATCAGATTTAAATCCCACTATCTGGCTAGTAAGATGACATTAAAGAGGAAAACTTTTAATTGATCACATACGAAAGTGATCAAAAGCATGTATAATGTAATTGGGCCACTTATTGGTTTCAGAGCAATAAAAAAAAGTTACTAGTAGTGGAACGTAGAGCACTTCTTTAGGCATGTGAAATATTACAAGTGCTTTACTAGCACCACCACAGTCACTCAGGAGATCTAAATGGCTCATGTTAGCATCACCTTCATCCAGTAAATGAGCATGAGGAAATCCTTTTGTTCTTGGGCAGGCCACCCCAACACAGCTGCAATCAACACCATGGCCCTGGACCACCCGACCATGAGCAGAGAATTTCTAGTCCTTGGCTTAGTTTCACACTACCCATGGGTCAAATGCCAAGAGTATCAACCATTTTTGTGATCACTGTTATTAAAAAACAAAAGCCATAGTCTTTTTCAATAAATTTACTTATTTACTTATTTTTGGCTGCATTGGGTCTTCGTTGCTGCGCGCGGGCTTTCTCTAGTTGCAGTGAGTGGGGGCTACTCTTCATTGCGGTGCGGGGGCTTCTCATTGCGGTGGCTTCTCTTGTTGTGAAGCACGGCCTCTAGGCACGCGGGCTTCAGTAGTGGTGGCACATGGGCTCAGTAGTTATGGTTCGGGGGCTCTAGAGCGCAGGCTCAGTAGTTGTAGCGCACGGGCTTAGTTGCTCCGCAGCATGTGGGATCTTCCCGGACCAGGGCTCCAACTTCTGTCCCCTGCACTGGCAGGCGGATTCTTAACCACTGTGCCACCAGGGAAGTCCCAAATGCCATAGTCTTGAGATTCCTTAGCTGAAACACTTTTAAAAGCCTCAAGAATCCCTTCATGCTACAAATTAACATGTAACATTCAACACTCTCCCAAGGAATCATTTTAAAAAAAAACCTTAATCATACATAATCCTATAGACAAAAGCCACTTTATTCCTAAAAGAAATATACTCTCATGCGTTTAAAACCATTTTCTAGTCTCTTGAGTAGCTTGTTATAAAATTAAGGGGTCAGTACATTTTACTGCAATTTAAAAAATTTTAGTTTGTGAAAGAAAAAAGTTAAAGAGATGAGAAGAATTTTTAAATTCTAGTGCTTTTTAGAACATCAGGCAGATATTTCAACAACTTATGAACTGGGGACAAAATTTTAATTGAGTTAATACTTTTAGAGCGCTATACTGATAAATAACTTTAATCACAACTTCTCAAGTCTTCGGCAGTCTGTTATAGCTTCCCAAATATAGGTATGGCAGTTTTCATGCACAGTACTAACCGGACGATGAAACCACAGCCAAACAACACTTAATTGAGAAGTTCCTGAATTTGGGTTCTTAAAATGGAAACTGTCTTTAAGGGCTGGGAGAGAAGCAGGTGTGAATACGACAGCACATGCATATCTAAGCATATTGTGAGTTCCTGTGTCTATCGTTACAACTTCCTTCAAAACAGTTTCTTACTTTTTATCTTTTCTTTCTCTCCCTAGTTATGGCTTTACTAATTATTGCCATCTGTCTGCATATTTCTTTTCTCTCTCTGCTTCATACTTAGGTGTAATACCTACAATAAACATGTTTGTCACTACTCACTGTACCTGAATTAGACCTTTACTCTCTTTAATTTAAAAAGCTTATATGAGAATAACGTTTTCTATGTTGGCTCTTTACCTAAAAGCGCTATTATTTTTTCCATCTCATTTTCCAAACTGATTTTGGATTTCCCTGCACCCCATCCCCCAGGGGGTCACTGGCCCTTAATAGAAAGAAAAAACAGTTCTTCAGCCCTGTCCCATCCTCACAGCCTGATGGCGAGTCTGTAAGTAAGGAGAACAGGAAGATAAAAGAAAGCATCACGGGCCCAAAGTAGCTGGGTAACCACGCATGGAAATTCCTTTTTTAAGGATTTAATATGTATGGAGCCAGAATCTCCTCATGACTAAACTACTACATGAGTGTAGATTAGTCACTACATACTCCTTTTCTTTCAGATCACAGAGATGGAATTCATTAATTAATCATTATCCCGAGGTGGAGAAAGAGAGAAAGAAGGGGAGGAAGGGAAAGAAGGGGAGAAGGCCGGCACTAAAACAGAGGCACATGTGCATTCCTGTGGCCCAGAGGGCAGTGGAGCAAAACCTGTCTTCATTCTCCTTCCATTTATAGGTTTGAAAAAAGGAACTCCACATGACAGAGACTTCCCCAAAAGATGTGTTACAGCAAATGCTAACTTCCCTCCCTGCACTGCGCAGGTCCCTCCCATCCCTCAGGGAAAGCCTGCCTCTTCCTGACAACCACTTTCCTAAGAATGCGGGTTTTAGGAAAGGTGAGAGAAAAATGTGCATCCTTCTCCCTCTGTCACAAAGGGTAAGTGACAGAAGTCTTCACTACTCGATCCAGAACTGAGGACTTTGCGTGCAGTCTGAGCAGTCCACCCTCATCTGATGTTTGGCCTCCATATCCCAATATTAAGATAGATGGGAGTTTGGTGAACCAGAACCCCTGCCATGTAAAAAAAATACACCTTATTTTTTACTTAATTAAAATAAATGAAACCTGTCTTCATTTTAAGATGTAAACCTAGCTTAGAACCAACTTGTCAAGATCACTTTTAATCACTCAGTGAGTACCCTGGGGAGAGAAAGTGAGCAGCCTCAACATATAATTGCTCATTTTTAAGAAGTTTTCCGGGCTTCCCTGGTGGCGCAGTGGTTAAGAATCCGCCTGCCAATGCAGGGGACATGGGTTCGAGCCCTGGTCCAGGAAGATTCCACATGCGCGGAGCAACTAAGCCCGTGTGCCACAACTACTGAGCCTGAGCTCTAGAGCCCGCCAGGCACAACTACTGAGCCCGTGAGCCACAACTACTGAATCTAGCGTGCCTAGAGCCCATGGTCCACAACAAGAGAAACCCATGCACCACCGCTCGCCACAACTAGAGAAAGCCCGCGCACAGCAATGAAGACCCAACACAGCCAAAAACTAAATAAATAAATAAATAAAAACCAAAGAAAACGTTTTCCAAAGACAGGGCAAAACCTCAAAGCTCTTCTCTGATATATGATTCTCAGCAACAAGGAATACATGCCATATCAACAAACCCTTTCCTGAGCACATATCAGCTTTCTGTTTACTCCTGAATGTCAGCTGTTAGTCTACAGCCACGATACACTCAAACTGTCTTTGTGTCAGAGTAAAGACACCCTCTCCTGAGGGAACAACATTCGGAGAGAATCCACGTGGAGAGACCTGGGTACTCTGACACCATTAGCAACTAGACAACCAGGAATGATCTGGAATCCAGCTGAGACATACACCTCATTTTCCATTGTTTACAAGGATGACATTGCTTACTGTGTTCCTTGCTGTGGGAGCAGAGTTGGGGCTAGAACAGCCAGTCCATGACTGGTAATTCCTTTCATGCCTATTACCTGAGCTACTCAAATAAACAAGTGTTTCTCTCCTTTGCTATACACTTCTACAATAATAAAAAAAATTATTTTGGTTTATTTTAAAAGGAAAAGCAATTGAAGGAGTGATGGGTATAATTTCCTGTAAAGCTACTGAAAGAGTGGCTTATGTTAGGAAAACAAACACAAACCCCCAATCATCATTATCCACGTGGAGTTGTCACGTGGCCGAGTGTTTCCAAGTATTTTCAGCATCTGACAGTCTACCGGGATCTCATGACTAATATTCTCATTCTTAAACTATGTTATTCTCAAAACCATGGCTCCTTTCAAACCAACCATATTCTGCCTCCTCCTCAAAAAATAATTTAATCAAAACCAAAGAAACAAAGGACCCACACATATCCCTTCTGAGGAAGATAGGAAGACCCTGACGAAAGGCTGTGACATGAATGACAGCAGTCATGTCAGAATGGAAGCCGAGTGGCCACCGTGAGGAATTATGAGGGCTCCCAAGTCCAACAGGACTTCTTACTAATGGTAGGTCCTT